AGTAGAGAATCTGCAAAATATTTGTTGATATGCGTATCGTTCTTTTAATTTTAAATTTTCGACAAACAATTTGTATGTACCCATCTGTCGTCAGTGCATAAAGTGATAGAATTTGCAGGTTTCTTAGAGTACTGTTGAAGAAGATTGTAACGATATGGAAGGGAAACTATTGGTATATATAATAGGTTTATACAGTAATGTATTATAAAAAAAACTACCGTTTAACTAAATAAATAAATATTAATAAGAGTAATTCATTGCAAATTATTTATAAACTGCGCTGAAACCTCGTTAAGGCTCCTGGTCCATGAGCTGAGAACTTTGTGTTGACGGTGGCGACGTACCGTCGCGGTAGAAATAAGAACTCTCTCCAATGGAGAATAAGCGATAAATGTTGAGAATTGACACATTGCGAATTCTTGGGTAGTATTTCCAAATAAAATGATATATGCTTAAAATAACATTACAGATCACTTCAGCACACTTCGAAAATACTTCGAGTTGAAGTTAAATCTACCCCTTTCCCGTGACAGTTAATAAACAGCCGTAAAATAAATGTAATACGAAATCTAGTCATGGCGCGCCTGCGCACAAGCCTACATCGCATCACATTTGTTTTACGGCTGTTTAATTATTAACTGTCAAGGGAAAGGGGTAGATTTAACTTCAACTCGAAGTATTTTCGAAGTGTGCTGAAGTGATTTGTAGTGTTATTCCTAAGCAAATAACTTTTTATTTGGAAGTACCACGCAAGAATTTTCAACGTGTCGTTTTCTCGCTTCTGACGTCACAATTCAACATGGCCGCGGCAGGTACCCAGGAGCCTTAAATGCTTTTCGCGCCGCATCGATTTTTTCGTTAGTCAGCAAGTATCTAATAAGCGCGTTTGTTTGTCGTAAAGCTTTTTCTCTTTGACTTTGATAGAACCCTTATGGAAAAATACACTCAACTTTTGGTGTTAACCGTTAAAAAAACACCATAGAAAAACCCTTAAAATTAAATGTGATTTCGGACTGCCAATTAAAGGTTAACCATCATTTAAAGGTTAACCTTAAATTGGCGGTCCGAAATTACACCCAACTTTAAGAGTTCTTCTTTGGATGATGGTTAACCTTCAAGTGATAGTTAACCTTTAATTAATGGTTAATCCTTAAAAATGACGATATGAACCTTAAAAATATGAACCCTCAAATGAGAGTAACACCCAAAGAGAATAAACTCCATATTTAAATGTTCTCAATTTGCTTCCGCCGATAATACATACTCGCAAAAGAGGACATCACCACACACTATGCAAAGTATATATATATATATATATATATATATATATATATATACAGGGTGTTCTAAAAAAGGGGGGCCAAAATTTAGGGAGATATTCCTCACACCTAAAGGATGAAAAAATGTTATATGAACATGGGTGCGGAAACCCATTTTATTTTTGCCTGGTTTTTTTTCTGAGTATGCGACGTTACGGCTAAATGAGGTAGTGACCTTATTTTCCAGGCAACTCAGTCACTTTAAAAACAAATGTAAATAAACCTACTGATTAAACGATAACCCTTCCATCCCTCTAACTACTTTTGACTATTTTACCCCTATTACTTCCGAATTAGCCGATTTATCGGCGAATTTGAAATAATCTCTATTACTTCGAGTTAGCTGACTCGTCGGTGAACTCGAGGTATCTATTACTTCGAATTAGCTGACTCGTCGGTTGACTCGAGGTATTCTTTTAATTTCTTTAATCTTCAAAACCCGAGATGATTTCCCCGCAGTCGGCGGATTTTAATATTTAACAATCCGCTAACTTTCCTGATAGCACAGTGTCAGTTGGTGCCGTCATGATGCCGTCGTGGTGCTGTTAATATACACGAATTTCGTGCATATTACCAACTGACACTATGCTATCAGGGTTGTAGTGGATTCGGCCGGTCCTACCCGCAAGAAGTCGCGAAACGCCGCGAAACACGAAAGACGTCGTCAAAACAAGCGGGCGCGAAGGGAGGTCGAAAACCAAGGATCGGAATTCCCCTAGGAACAAGATAAAGCCGGTCCTCCGCGACTCGCCACTTCGCCCCCTCCACCAGCTCTTCCGGAGAAACCGTCGTCGCCGCCTCCTCCTAATCCGCCTTCTCGCCCTGTTTGTCGCGTGGCCCCTTTCCGCGTGCTCCCCGATACCCCCGATCCTACCCGCCTGCTCGAACCTTCATATTCCGCGGTTCGCCCCGGGAAACTTCCCAATTCCCCCTCCTCCGCGGCTTCCAGAGGACCATCCCCGACTCCGTCAACCGCCTTGACCGTTGTAAATCTCGAGGAAGTAGACAAACCCGAGGTGATAACCTTGGAATAATAATTATAAAATACATTTTATTTATTTTAATTCTTATATGTTTCGCCTCGATAGAAAATTTCATTAAATGTACCTACGCAAATCGTCCAGAATCCGCACAATGTACAACAACCGTTTACACAAACTCTCTTTTGTTTTATTATATACATATACACGTTTTACACTAACGCCTAGTTTATAATTATTTTATTTTTTTTATACTAAATAACCCTTTTTGTGTCAAATAAATATAAGTATTTATGTTAAAGACATCTCCATTCTTTCTTTAATTTAAGACCTCACCCTCAGTACCATCCTCTTCTCAAAATCGCACGAGGTCCGATCCTGAGTTAAAGGAATTGAATTCCCTGACTCAAAAGAGGACCGACGATTGCACCGCTCACGGAAGCCATCCTACCGTCCCTACGGACGTTGACCCTTCCTGAGCCATTGAAAGTGCGTTCGGCTCGCGCCACGCGCCTCAGAGCGTGTACCTGCGAGCGATATTCTTAAGCGTCTAGTTGTGTCCTTCCTTACCCCGATCCCTCTGATTAGTCTTTCCTTTGCTTTTTAGATTTTCTTATCCTAATCCCGAGGTTGGACGTGTTTGTTTTCTCTATCCCGGTAGACGGGGCTACCGTCACCGTCTTAAAGGATCGACAAGTCGATCCAAAAACGAAAACATGCGATGGTACATTATCGCTAGGACCCGACGAGGTCGGACCGATAGGAAGAGCCGAGAACTCTCCATTCTCGAGACCTTATCGTGAAGAGCTGTGATCTCCTGCTTTAGTTTCGCGATTTCGATGTTCTTCAAGGATTCCTGCCTACAGATTTCCTCCTCGCGTTTAAAGGCGCGGCGTTGTGCAATAAGGTTCGCCTTTTGCAGTTTTAGTGAGGAAATATCCCCAGACAAATCTAGTCGATCAGAAAGAATTGCAATAATCTCGGCAACGTTATTCAGTTCGTTCCTGAGAAATGCGCTCAATTTTCTGTAACCTCTTGTTTTTTACCCGAATCCTGTGCATCTTGTCCACACATTCAGACGCAAACTTGGACAACTTTTCCGTGTCGAGTTCACGCAATGTATTTGCAGCTACTACTTTAATATGAGTTTCAACATCTAATGGGAATTCCGCCGTGGGAACTATACCTCCGCCACCGACCCTGATCGTTTTCGATTTCTTGTTGGGGAGCTTGGCCAGAGGCGAGATATCCTCTGAATGTGGAGACGTCTCCGCTTTCCTTTTCTCCCTTTTATACAAGGTCGTTGAGAAGGTTTCTTCTTCAGATTCCCCTTCCGAATCCGGAATCACAATAGTCTCCTCAATAAGCGTACGATCCGTTTCCTCAAAATAATCCCCGTCAAGAATGGACCTTGTCAATCCAGCAAACTCCATCTTTAACAGATCAGTAACTTCCGCGGTAGTCGTTTCCATATCGGCGCCCGTGGGCAACGCCGATATTGGCTCTTCGCTGAGTTGCGACAGGACGGAGTCAGGGACAATAGGCCGGCCCTGCCGATCGTCCACGGTAATTGGTTCACCACCAGCGCCCGTAGGCAACGTCGATGGTGGCTCTTCGTATGATGACGACACGTCACTCCCAGGGACGAGAGGGGTAACGCGCCGATCACTGAGGTTTCGAACCCCCTGTGATGGTAAAGACTCTTCTTCTCGGTCTGACATATTCATAATAATAATAATTGGTTTTTTATTGGGGTGACCTTTCCCTAGGACGTAGCCCACGCGAGACACATTTCGCCCAAAATGTATTCGCGAATTAATCGAAGGAAGAAAAAGTTGATATCCCGCGCCGACGGGAAAAAGCATCTTCTGTGGACAAAATTCGACCGACGATCGAATTCTTAACGGATTTAAAAAATTTTTTTTAATTTGTTGGTAATTGAACAGGCTGTAAGTATGTTGTGCGTAAATTTTAATTACGGTTCAAATTAAAGATGGCGGAACCAATAAAGTGGACATAAAATATCAAAACTGCGCGATTGCAATTGAATTCGTAACAAAACGTGTAAGTATCTACGTAATAATGTTATTATGTGTTTGTATAGTCGATTACAAATCTGTAGGTTGAATTTAAAAAAAAATGGCGAATCCAAAATGGCGGAAAACTACAAATAACACCAGAATTTGTACCATTTATATTTGCAATATATTAAATAATTATTAATTAGATACAATCATGTGTGCGATAGTATAAATTTAGAGTCATATCATTTCTATATACACTTTTGTTTTTGTTGATTATTTAGCAGGATCGTGTAGTTTCGGGAACCTTGCGAATAAGATTGAGCAAGTAAAAGATATACTGGAATATATTTCAAACAGTACAAAAACGTAAACTCGAACTTAGACTTTTGTCGAACTGAACATGAGTAACTGCTTGTACAACGACGTGCTGCTTACTGCGGCGTGCGCGACTGACAAGAGAGGCGAGCCGGGGGAGAAAAAACAAAACGTTAACGCATGCACGGTCGCTGTTGCCTCTATAATAATAACGGCGTGAAGCGTGCCAAGCTTAAAGGTCATTTCACGGTGACAATCCAACAACTTTATTGTTACTTAGAGATCATTTTTCATTTAATAGGAACGCGCGCGCGCTAAGTATGTAAATGTATATATTTATTGTTCTTCGCAGATATTGAGATATTCGTATCATATATTCATCCCTCTAATTATCAACAAGACCATTATTTTTTAAGAAGGTAAAACAAGTCAATTTTTTTAATCAACAAAGACATTTAATATAACTGTTATAACGAATATACAATAAACTTAATAAAACTTGCAATTCCAAACACATGGCTGTGCGCGCACACATGTATATGCAATTATATTTTTAGAATCTAACTTTTCAAATCTGAGTTTCTAATAAACTTTTAAAATCCAACTTTCTTATTAATCTAGATTAGATTACTTCTTCGGTAATTCAACTTTCGACTTGAATATTCGACCATTGCGCTGATTGCGTGCGAGACAGTAAACGAGTGAACATTGTTGATAAGACAAACTCAACAGTTGTGTCTGCTGAACGCTATTACAGGCTGAGCCAGTTCTGGAGCTGAAGTTTGCTTCCTACACATAATAAAATATAATTTTTTATGTCGTATAATTAATAAGAAATAATTGATCGCACAATTTTATTCTATATGCACCTTGGGATAAAGATATAGAAGATTACAATACGTTAAATCGGGCAAAACAACTTCGCTTGGAAACTCGAGACTATCTCCTTAATCGGTCGATTCTTTTCATCCGGATATGGAACTAATCTTCTAAGGTCGGGATCAAGACACCTCGGTAGTTCTTCGGGTCTGGGACTGAGATCCAATTTCAATATCTCTGGTAAGGATTTTAATCGTTTCAAGTTGGAACCAGGTCTTCGTAGTTCAACCAAAAGCTTATAAAGATCTTCATCGCAAAGTCGTTCGCTTTCCTGCTTGAAGAAGCTCGAGACTGTTAAAGTAATGGGCCTATAAGAATATCAAGATGTTAGTTAAGCCTTTCTATCAGTGCTATCCGTATCACCACCGCCTTCGATTACACCAGACAGATGAATTGCAGTCCACGCGAGAGGCATTCTATAACGACCCAGGCGTTCGCACGCAGCAGCGGCGGCAGCTCTGACCTATACGGAAATAAATAAGACAATAATATGAAAAATTGCCATTTTGAATGCACCAGTATTATTTTAACATTTTATTACCTTATCTTTATTTTTATCTTTACGTAAATATGGTTCGGCACACTCCGATATATCGCCCTGCAATACTTTCTCGAGCCGTACGACAAGAAACAAATCGGGAGTGGGTTTATTGATGCTCAAAACGCAACTTCTAGCTAAAGTACTTGCTATAAGCGATGTGTCCTCCAAGCATTCTTTTCAATCCCTCTGAATTCATATCGACGTAGAAATTTTCAGACACCTGAAATATAACAATTTGTAATTAGCATTATGCATCCTTGAAGTTGTAATTTCAATGATAAAAAATATCATACCTTTTTCTTTTCTCTGGCATCGTATAATGCGAGACTCGTGAATATTGACTCCACTTCTAGTTCTAACTTTAATTGCAGACATTTTACGAGAATTTTATGAGCAAAAGGTTCTGTAGGTTAGGTTGCTGATTTCTTGCCAGTCTTGTCACTCGTCGTCAGGAGAAGTATGTGCACTATATTGCACTATAGTGCAGAAATTAAAACGAAATATTGACCTTTAATTAATTTTTATTAGAATACAGTTGTTTTCTAAATAATAAAAATTATATCGACACTTTATCCAAATGATTCTGGAGCGATTGGATTAAAAAATAATATTTTTTAGATACTTTCTGCTAATTATACGCTTAATTGATTTTAATTAATTGTGATTATTTTATGGTTTTCCAAACTCTGAAAAGTTTTTTCCAAATATCTCCAAATGATTTCCAAACGATTGGGTAAAATAATTTTCAATAATTTTTAATTCGTTTGCCAACTATACGTCGGTCACATACGCATGCTCAGTGGCCGCACGCGCATGCTCAATGGCCGCACGCGCATGCAAAACTGCGCCAATTTGAAATATGTATTTTATAAAACAAATAAAGCGCGACAATGTCGTTACTGTCAGATGCCACGAAATTGCACGCCACCTCGCCACGCAATGTTAGGGCTGATAGAATTCGGACATTTGACATATAGTCAGGATAAGTTAATAGATTTTTTGATTCAGCATGGTGTCCTAACAGCTACAATTAAATGTAGTGAATGTGGTAGTGATATTAATATTGATAAAGAAACATTAATGTACCGATGTAGAAAACGGTACTACGTAAAAAATGAGCACAAGAAGCGTGTTTCGAAGTAGTGCAATTTTAAGAAAAGTGGCAAAGCTGGTACTTGGTTCGGGAAAAGTCATCTTAACGTGGCAACAATATGCAAAATTGTTGCCTGTTTTTTAATGTTGAGACATCCAAGTCAAGATGACACACAAGATGAAACTGGCGTTTCGTCGCCGACCACGATTGTTGACTGTTTCAATTTTTGCCGAGAGGTAATTATATTTTATTATATTTTCATAAATACACACACACACACACACACACACACACACATGTAAAATGTATGAAACAAAATATTAATAATATAATATTATTTCTTCCTGCAGGCCTGTGTGTTCTGAGCTGAAGAACATAGTGAGAAACTTGGTGACCCAGGATGCACAGTAGAAATCGATGAAGCAAAAATTGGAAAAAGAAAATACAATCGTGGTCGGCTCATAACAGGTCACTGGATTTTCGGAGGATATGAGCAAGGCACAAAAAAGATTTTTATCGTGCCAGTACAGGATTGAACTGAAAAGACACTTCTGGCGTGTATTAAGGAGTGGATATTGCCAGGCACTACCATCGTGTCAGATTGTTGGAAGTCCTATAATTGTTTGAACAATGAAGGTTTCCAACATCTGACAGTAAACCACTCCTACAACTTCGTCGATCCTGAAACTGGTGAGAACTTTTTGCCATAGTTAACTATATTATTATTAAAGAAAATTAATATTTTTAATATTAATATTTTTAACTCCATTTACAACAGGCTACAGTTTACAATAGAAATTAGTAATAACAACACCCTTAATTTTCTCGACACCACGATAATAGCTGCCAATGAAAGACTGATATTTGACTGGTATCACAAACCGACCTTTTCTGGACGATATCTCAGCTTCTTTTCCAGCCATCCAAACAGCCAAAAGAGGAAAGTAGCTATGGGTTTAATTGACAGGGCTTTCAGGCTATCCCATCCTAGTTTCCACCAAAAAAATCTGTCTCTGGCCATCACTCTCTTACTCGAGAATGGCTATCCATTGGACTTCGTTTTCGCGATAATTGTGAAAAAGCTCAGTTCTCTTTTAAAAAAATCTATCTTGGGGCCTCTGAACGATGAAGAGCCAAGCAGTAGGTCTTATCTGTTTGTTCCGTACGTAAAAAATATATCAGAAAATTCACTCATCTCGCCAGTACTATGGATAAAAAACTGAGTTTTTACGGCTTTAATCGATTAAACGGCCGTATTAAAGTACACAAGGACACTGTCGATAACGTTTCTCAAAGCAACGTGGTGTATCGCATCAACTGCGCTGACTGTGATGCTTCGTACACGGGACAGACGGGTAGACTATTGGGAACCCGTATCAGGGAACACAAGCGAGTAAATCCGGGGGGACATTCTGTAGTGCAGATGCATTGTATGGATAATAACCATAAGTTTGATTTTGGAAGTGCCGTAATCCTTGACAAAGAACCGTTTCACATTAAACGCTTGGTTTCTGAAATGTTGCACATCGGTCTGCAGAACAACGGGGTCAATTTACAGACACCGATTTTCTAGGCAAATCATACCTCCCGCTAATAAATAAAATAAAGCGTCGCTCTAATGTTTAGGTAAATCCGCCGAATTCTCTTGTTGCGACCGTGTACTCGGCGATGTATATTTGTTTATAATTTGTTATACGTTCGCGTGCTCTTGAGATCACAGCGTGCGCTTTGACCTCACATTCGAGGCTCAGATGCCGACGAACACACATCGTTCTCCACACAGCGAATATGTCAAAGACGTCTAAATGCGGTTCGTGTAGCACGCAGTAAGTTACGCATATTTTCCATTTTTTGTAATGGCCCTAATGGTTACTGCATTCGGTAGTTCTGCCGGGCCACAGTTTGCTGCTTTCGTCTCTCTCTCTTTGATTCCCGCTGTCAATGCTACGTGGGTGCTTACCGGACATACGCGCCGTAACATACACTTGAAGAGAGATCTGAACGCGCACCTGGCGTCCTCAAAATGCGAATCATAACATCTGCGCTTGCGTTTCGCATTAACCGATTGCGATACCATTGTACGCGTGCATATCCGATATTGTAATCAGCCCATTGCGATACCGCGTCGTTGCGTTCACATTAACTTTTATATGAGTCACTGAAGAGGGCCCGATTTAGGGCCGAAACGTTTGATTGATCTTAATGTTTTAATGTTTTGACTGCAAATATAATTTTTCTGCATATTCGATCCTGCGTCGGCTCTCATAGCCAATTATTTCTTAACTTGTTTTACTCAGAGCCTACCATATACGTTTGTTTAAAGAAAATAACTTTATCCGCCAGTGATTAAAATATCAATGTTAGTTTATTGCTCGACTAACTGGAAATAAGAGTACAAAGACTGCACAACGTTTCGGCCCACGGTTAAGGCCCTTTTCAAGTGCGATCTAAAAATTTATAAACAACAATATGCAATACAAAATATAAAATATAATAAGCGGACTGAAATTAATGATCGTTGTGTTCGAGAGCAATACCTATTAGTCTAACCGACTCGTTATAAGAAATCAACGGACATGCCTGTGATCACGAGAATGTTCCAGCATAATCATATATAGCAGTTGTGAACAATTATTCATAAAGCAACAATATGTGAAAGGAGTGTGCAAAATTCAAGCGAGACTCACGTGTCCAATGTGTAAAATTTCAATTTGCGTGTTAAAGATCTCCGTTGCGACATGTTGTGCGTATGTAAGGAGACTGTGGACAGACAAAGAAGGAGCAGAGGCATCAGGGAGGGGGGGATTATAAACATTAAACAGACGTAATGACACCGTCATATACTAAGTTTAAATTCTCTGTGTCTTTCTTAAGGTTAATAGTGTTATTATTGTGCTTTTTTATGAAGAACATTTCGGCAATTTCTCGCATTTTTATGTTGCATTCTTTATGTAGAATTTTAGGATCTGACCACTTGAAATTGTGGTCATTATGTATACGATGCTTACTCACGACTGAGAGATTACTGTCATGTTTCTTAATATCGTTGCAGTGTTCCTTAATTCTAGTTTCCAAGTGTCTCTTTGTCTGTCCTATGTAAGAAGCCTCGCAATTCTCACAATCTATCTGATACACCACGTTCGTCTCTTTGCTCGTCGTAAGTCTATCCTTACCCCTCTTGATGACAGCACTAAGTTTTTTAGGTATTTTATACAGGACCTCGAAACCAACCTTTTCCAGGGTACGTCTTATGCCCTCGCTTAATCCTTTAATAAAGGGGATCGCTATACAATTACGTGCGTCAAATGAATTGTTTCGACCACTATAGCTATTATTAGTGTCTGTTCTATTTTTTAATTGTCGTAACCTGTTTTTAATGTGTTTATTAACCAACTTAATCAGAAAGCAATTATTTGTAAGGATATCTTTTACAATATTAATGTTCGTGTGGTGGAAGCGGTCATCCAACAGCAAAATTGCGTGGTCCACCAAGTTAATTATCGTATTGATTTTGTATTTACGCGGATGGTTAGAGAAATAATTGATGTATCTCCCCGAGAAAGTTGGTTTTCTATACCAATTCGTAATTAACTTATCCCCATCTCTTATAACTAAAGTGTCCAAAAATGGTATTGAGCTGTTAGCTTCCGTTTCGAAGGTGAACTGTAACCGTGTCTCTTGATTATATGCCATGTTACGATTTTTGGGAAACAAATTTGAATTTGAATTTTGGGAAACGAAAATTCGACCAATAGGCGTACGGCGTTGGCGAGACGGCTCCTTTTGGCACGGTAGTAAGTTCGATTTTGCGACACGAAAAAGCGATACAAATTTAATTGCGACACGAAAAGTTATGGCAAAGCCCTTCCCTTCAGAAGTTTCACTTCTAACGCGCGTGGCAACCACGCGTTCATTTTTTTTATTTTTGTTGATTTCTAATATTTCATGAACGATCAAACTTAAAATCTGTGTCGGGTGAAGTCGTTACCAAGCCATATCATGGAGGCTTCAGAAAAAAATCAAAGTCAAAAAAGCAGCAATGGTCGGATTCCGGCGAGGACTTGAATAATATGTGCAGCGTGTGCTCAGAGATGACAGAATAGAGCTGACGAAAAACACATTTCGTGCGAGCGTAGAGCACATAAGTGTGTGCGCTTTCCTTGTATTTATTTTCCGCTATCGTGTTTTTAATTAATGTTTTCATTTTTTGTTGGGAGAAGACTTTGAACGAGCAATAAGTTCCCGCCCTTCTAGA